TTAAGCAAAGGCTGAAGGCATATCAGCCGCCCTCTCTGAGTCACAATACATTAGATACTGGAAGAAGGCAGTTTGAAGAATCAAGATTTGATGATGAAGACAACTACGATAATAATAATTTATTTAGTCCAGACCTGAAAGAACACAAACAGATAATTCAACATTTGAATATGAAGAGAACCACAATAATACTGTTGTAATTAATAATAATAGAGATGTCTTAAGTGAGGCTGTTCGCTCTATTCTAATTGATGTGTTACATTTTGTGTTTTTGTGTTTTTGATCTCACTTTAATTCAACAGTATTATTCATAAGTGCCAATTATAATTATATTTTGTAAAACTTAATGTAGTACTAATAAAAAAAACATAATATATTCTTCCAAAGCAATATAAATAGTGATTTGTAAAACCTTAACATGGCAAAGTGGGGGTAAGTAAAACCTATAATTTTTAATTTTTTTGTAGAATGCTCCATATTACATTTATCTTTAGAGCTTTTTGCATAAATATTTACGTATGAGGGGACCAATGGCAATTATTTACATTTTTTTCAAAAATGGCGTCGTCCTTTTAAAAGTACTTTAAGGTATGTTTAAGTAGGCCATGATGAGAGTAGTTTAATTATTGTGAAAGTTATGTTTGATTTAGGAATACATCAATAATATCAAGCCTATTAACACTATTTATTGGCAGCTTGGCTCGTACTAAAATAGTCAGTCAAACGTCTTCTCACTTGAAATCCTTCGGATTGGGCGAAACTACCAGCGCCTGCAAGATTAATTAGGTTTTGGGTTGGAAAATCCTCCAAGTTTGGGAATCTTTCTGATTTCAAAGAATTCTTGAACATGGAACTTAACATGTTGTGTAAACAACAGTAGACAATGATAACTAAGTCAATAGTTCCAGGTTTTAAATGTATAGGAGTGAAAAAACTTCTGAAAATTGCGTTCATAATGCCAAAAGCATTTTCGGACGTTCTTCTAGCTTTGCTGAGATAATAGTTAAATATTCGTTTGTCTGCATCTTGCAACATTTGTGCCTTAGAGTCTTAGAGTATGGCTTCATCATATGTTTACTTAAACTAAAAGCTTTGTCGCCAACTATTACGTGAGGCAGCAAGATATCAGAATGTTAGGTTACGTTCCCATTTTTGACTTCCTGAAAATTCCTGCATCACCTTCCTTTCCATATGATCCCACATCAATAATAAGAAACTTGCAATTTGCTTCGACCATTGCAAGAAGCACCACAGAAAAATATCCTTTATAGTTGATGTAAAGACTTCCGGATTTTCAATGTGCCACAATTCTTACATGCTTCCCTACAATTGCAGCTATACAGTTGGGAAAACTCCAACATTTCCAAAACTCCTCGGCTTTCTATTTTCAGTCTATTTTATCGGGAGAAGGTAAAAAAGTGGCATTAGCTTGTCCTGCAGTGCAGCCAACACCTTGGGCACAATCATGCTTATAGCTGAGGGGGATATGCGATAACCAAATGCCAGTGATCTGTACGATTCCCCTGTAGCCAGAAACCTAAAAAAAATATTGTCTAGAATAATTTTAATAAACATTAATAATAATATAAATTAATTGATAGTTAAATAAGAATGAAACTATGTACTATGTATGCTATGCTCTAAATTTGAGATACAGCGGCCTTATTTCCCCCTATAGCACAGTATAGTAGTACATTTTATGATTTTTTCTTATATTTACTTGCTTTACAACGGTATATATGAGTATCTCAAAACCTTATCAATAAAATTTAAGCTTTTAAACAGAACTACAAATTATTGATATTGAAAGAGATATCGTGTGATAGCTCTAAAAACTCTTGAAAAAGACTAATTAAAAAAAGGTAAAGGGATTAAACTGACCTATCAAATAAGCTATCGCTCGATACATCTTTGCTTTTAAGATTTTTAAGGGGGTAGCTTATGGGGGCAGGGGGTATTTTTGCTTAAAAAGATGTCCCCCTCGATTCGTTTTTACGTGTCAGCGATTTTTTTTTAATCTTCAGTTCTCGAGACAGACATCTCTTTGTTACAGGAAGCGAGTCTAAAAAGCGTTAGAAAACTATGAGGGATCACTACAAAAGGGAAAGAAAAGAAGAAAAAGGTACTACAGGAAAAGCTGCTAAGAAGAAAAGAGCTATATACTGGAAATGGTTGCAGTTTTTGGATACTATAGCAAACGAGAGCAAAAGTTTTACTAACGTTTTGAGCCCATCCGACACTGAAGCATCAACTTTACATGAGGGAATAGACATTAACTACCTAGAAAAATACCATGAGGAGGATCAACCTGAACGAACGTCCCCGCATTCATCTAGCCAAGGATCATATCAGTTCACATAAATTGGAACTTCCACACCATCCGCAGATAGTCAAAGATCAGACTGCCGTATCTCGACCCCTTTCTAAAACAAGGAAAGAAAGTGTTTTCTCTGCAGAAATATTTGACAGAGAGGCAGCAGGACAGGTGACATTTTAAAAGGTGCATCGAAAATCTCATGGCACGTCCAGGACTCAAAAATGATGATGACATTGACTTATTTTTCAAAACAATGGCAGCGACGCACGGTGAGAAAATTCCGACCAAATCTTGTCACCCAGACAAAAGCGAGCGTTTTCAAAGTAAAAATGGAAATACGGAACCAGCAATCAATCGTCTCACATAACACAGAATTTACGAATATTGACTACAATGAAAACCAGTCGCTCTATTCGCCCTTATCAACATCATCACCATGGACCACTCCACATTCATCTCACACAGAAGCTTCCTCTGACATTGTTTCTCAAGCTTTTGTTCAAGCCTTACAAAGTGATAATTTGGAATAACACTGATTTTATAGATAATATGTACCTATGTAGGATTCAGAAGGATACCAATGATTATTTTGTATTAAGAAATAAAAAAAAAATCGAAATTTAAAGTACTTGCTTGTAAAAAATAAATATTATGTCGTTTAACGGTTTTTGTGTTTACAAATATTTTTGTCTACAACCAATTTTAAATAAAATTAGTGTAAAAAGAGGGGGGGGGATTTCTGTAATATTTAAAAAAAATCGTTATTTTTTATAATTTTTTTTATAGAGATCGTCCCCTCTTAAATTACATGAGCTAATGGCAGAAATAGACAAAATTTCTTCTGAACAAGCTTTCCCAAATACGATTACTATATTTTCCCCTGATAACGCCAATAGTTCAATTACTGACGAGGATTCAGGGGACGAAGACCACGTTAACATTGACAATCTGCCGGGAAGTCAGTTGAGGGTGGAAGCTGAACTGCATTTTGAAGACTCACCTACCTTGGAAGAGTCATCAGATGAAGAAGACAATGTTCCTCTTTCTCATTTTGTTCCGCTAAAAAAAACTTAAAACTTTTAACTGGACCCTACAGCAAGACTTGTCAGAGCCTACCAGCCGCTGGAATGAATCTCTTACAGCTCAAAATAATATGAATCCTGTCCAATTATTTAGTTTATTTTTTAACAAGAATCTTATTTCCGAACTGTGTCGTTATAGCAATACATATGTCTCGCAAAATAACCGTGTGGGAGATATTCGGGAATCCGAAATTTGGTGTTTTTGGGGGATTCTTATTCTAAAAGGTTACAATCAATTGCTACGAAAACATATTTTATGTATTGGGAAAATTCAAGTGATATCAAGAATGAGTTGGTTAGAAATGCAATATCCAGGGGCCGATTTAAATATGTAATGCAAAACATTCATTGTTGTGACAATAATATACTTAGTCCAAACGATAAGTTTGCAAAAATTAGACCATTTATTGACGCTCTAAATAAAACATTTATGGAATTTGCACCAATTGAGGATTCCCTATTATGGGAGACATGGCTCCAAACAGTTTATAAGGGGAAAACCAATACGGTGGGGAGAAAAATTTTGTATGGGCACAACCCGGCTTGGCTATATAGAATGTTTTGATTCTTACCAAGGAACATTTTTTACAATTCCCCAAAAATTTAAAAACTTGTTTTAATTTTTTTTAAATTGTACTTTTTTGTAGAAATAAAAAGTTCTTAAAATTACAAATAATTTTGTACAAAAACGTTTTTTTTTATCTCTAATAGTTTGGAAGTTATATAGCCTTCTTTAGAAAATAATTTAATACAGCCTTTTCATATACACATCCTAGATTGCCATGATTTCGCTGCAATTATTTTTTAATATTATTTAAACATTTTCGTTTGACATTACTAGCGAGTTCAGTAGTTTATATATGTTAGGGTAAAAGGAGGAGAGATGGACCACGAGGAGTGACGGACCACTACGTGTATTGTGGTTGATATGGCAACCCCGAGGATAGCCACGTGTGTTCTCGCTATTTATTACCTGTCTGTCTAGAGTAAGGTGTCTATGATTCGTGTCGTCTTGTAAAATGTGAAATAACTAATGTTTTCAAATCTAATAGTTTGATAAATTTTGTGTAAATATTTGTGATAGAAGTGTCTTATAATATCGTAAGTAGAATGTTGTAGTTTTGTAATATATTAAGCAAAATCTACTTCCTCTTATCACCTAACCTAAAAATTACACAGTGGAATGCATGCAAACGGGACTTTTTAAGTGGTCCGTCTCTCCTCCCAAAAAAGGAGAGATGGTCCAGCCATAGGAAGGATAGATGGACCATGTTTTTAAAATATTTTTTTTTCTTTTAGGCAATGCCTAATATATATAAACGTAAAGATAATGTACCTCCAAGAGGATTATGGTCCTCAAATAATTTGCAATCAGCAATAAATGCAGTAAAAGAAGGTAATATGGGTGTAAACCAAGCAGCCAAACATTTTTCAATACCTAAGACTACCCTAAAGAGAAGACTAAAATTGAACAATTCACAAAAATTAAATAGACCAGGACCGGACTCAGCCCTAGGCGCAAATGCTAAAGCTAAACTTGCCAATCATATTAAGAAACTTCAAAAAATGGTTTCTGTCCAACGCGACAAGAAGTAAGGGAAATGTCTTACCACCTGGCAGAGCAAATGGGAATCGAAAACAAATTTAGTGCCCGTGAAGGTTTGTGAATAATGACTAGAAATGTTTTAATAGAAATTTGTTAAGTAAGTTTATGTTTAATTTTAGGCAAAGCTGGTCAAAAATGGTTAGATTTGTTCTTGAGAAGATGGCCCGATATTTTTGTGCGAAAAGCTGAAAATGTTTCCATTGCCAGAGCCATGGGAATGTCTAGGCCTGTAGTGCAGGCCTATTTTGAGAACTTAGAAAGAGTGTTAACTGAAAATTTACTTTTTGACAAACCAGGTAATGTTTTTAATTGTGATGAGACTGGACTTCAATTGAACACCCGAGCTGGTCAAGTCCTTGCCCAAAAGGGATCTAAGTGCGTTCCAAGTATTAGTCCAGGAGAAAAAGGCGAAACAATATCTGTCCTTGCTTGCATTAATGCTGAGGGTGGATATTTACCTCCCTATTGTATTATGAAAGGCAAAAATAAAAAAGAGGAATGGAACGATGGTCTGCCACCTGGTTCACGAATAAAAATGAGTGAAAAATCAGCTTACGTTAATTCTGAAATCTTCTTAGATTGGCTAAAAAATCATTTTTTGCCTAAAAAGCCTAATGGAACAGTGCTATTAGTACTAGACGGTCCTTCTTCGCACCCTTCAAATCTTGAAACACTTCAATTTGCAGAAGAGCATAACATCATACTTTTTTGTTTACCACCTCATACCACTCATGTTTTACAACCTTTAGATAGATGTTTTTCAAATCTCTTAAAGGGCATTATTATGAAGCTTGCAGGTATTTTGTAAAAATCACAAAGACCGAAAATTAAGCCGCCTGAATTTTGGAAAATTATTGGGTGAGAGCTGGGGCAAATCCGCAACAGTACAAAATGCTTTATCAAGTTTTCGTGCCACGGGTATAATGCCCTTTAATCCACACATAATTCCGGAACACGCATTTCTCGTTACAGACTAAGAATCAGGTGGCCCACCTGGCACAAACTTAAAAACTATTGAGAAGCCAAATTTAGAAAATATTGAAAGGCCTTTATCACCACAACCTGGTCCGTCTGGGTTACAAGATTTACTAGAAAAGACTCCACCAAAGAATGTCACTACTACTGATCTGACACCTGGTCAAATTTTAGATAAAATTTCTCCTGTTCCAGAAGTAACCCTAGCCGTAAAAAAGGTGTGACGTCAAATAACTGGAGTATTATCATCTGATAACTGCAAGAAAAAAAGTGTCCAATTAAAAAGAAAACAAAGTATCCAAAGAAAAATAAAACAAAGTACCCAACGAAAAATAAAACAAATTCTCCAAGAAAAAACAAAAAAGATGAAAAAAATAAGAAGCATACAATTTCTTCCTCCGATTCAGACGAAGAGCCTAAATTAGACGACTCTGACTCTGAAGAAGCCGAGAATATAGATGATTACGAAAATGAGTGCGTTGGTTGCGGGGAAGACTACAGAAAAACTAAAAAAACAGAAGACTGGATTAAATGCGTTATATGCCGGCGATGGTTACATGAAAATTGTTCAAACTTTGAATCAATATGTCAAGCATGTGGCCTAAACGTTACAAAGAAAAAGTCATAACGAGGTGGTCCATCTATCCTAGCATGTACGGTCCGTCTATCCCCGCACCTAGAGGGGTGTCGGTTCAGTGTAAGCCTTTGTAATTTATGAAATATATTTTTTTATTTATAAATATTTTTGATGTTTCTTTCGGTATTATGCCGAACAAGCATTACTTTTTATGTTTTTATAAATATATATGTCATAAATATTGTAATAAAGTTTCTATCAAAATATTTTCAAAATGTGGTCCATCTATCCTCTCTTTACCCTATAAGAAAAATATGAGAATGCCGCCAAAAGGCCGTCAGGCTTTACCAGTATACGGATAATGCAACTAATGGTAGGTAATGAAGATTTACCGATAAATGACGTGAATGACAATAATACACAAGTTGATGTACCCAATAATAATAATAGAGCAGTTGAAGATTTACTAGATAGTATTGCAGTTGTTGCATCCAATCGTCCTACAAAGAAAAAATATAATCTGATAACTCACCTGATAACTGTTGTGGACAGCAGAAAAATAAATATTTGCTTGCCGCTTATATTTATGCTACAACCACGTTTAAAATTCGCAGCATTACACATAAATTTTTAATTCATGAACACTCTCAAAACGAAGGTGATAACGTCCACAGTGTTATTGAAAAGCAGATAAAAAGATGCCTTAGATCTGGTCCAATTTATGTTCCAGAACAATGCACACAGTGGGGACAACGGCGCGCGCCGTATCCCCGCCACTATCGATCGATACGAACCAAGACTCTACTGCTTGCTTTTAACAAAATAATCATTTTATAAATAATTTGATAATTACAAGCTAATTAATTTAATCACTACAAATTAATTATCACAAAAATTAAGTAACATCGTTACAATATTAAAGTTAAAAGAAAAAAATGAACATAATAAATTTTTCTACAAAACTTCGTATGAGGATAACATTTTTAAGACAGTAATTATTACGCTAAAAGCCAAAAACACTCGATCTCAGGGCAATTTGGAAGTCAACTTACCTATACAATTAGTTCAGGCATATGCAAATAATTTACCATTATCAGATAATAAAAAAAGGGACCTAAAAGAACTGGCTGATAACAACATAATTCCAAAATATTACTACAACTCTTTTTATAAAAATGTTTTGCAAATTTCAGAATAATATATTTTTATTCCCTAGTTTTTTTAAAAAAAAATATTTAATGTTTTTCTTTAGTTTGTTTTGTTTTAAAATCTAATAATTTTTGCGTTTCTTTGTTGGTATGTAGTAAGTATTTATTTACTTTGGGCGATGTTTGTTCCTCGTTAAGTTCCTAATAAATTTTATTTTATTGTACTAATTATAAGAAGCACTATTAGAATGTACATAAGTTTCTTTAAAAGCACCTGTTCTGTTTAAGTAATTAAACGATTTAAAATAACACTTGAATTTCATTTAATTTAAGGCACTTTTTTATAAAAATTAGTATTTTTTTAATTTTTTCTTCAAAAATGACCAAAGTGTTTAAAACAATCGTCAAAAGTGATATAACTTAAAATATTTTTCCTAAAATATGTTTTTTTTCGACAAAAGTGGCACAATTACAAAAGTCATTAATTTTGATACTAAGTAGACGTTTTAATTAATTTATCTTATTTTTTTAGTTTTGGAAAGAAAAATTCATAATAATTACGTTTTTAAATTTATAAAAAAATTCATATTTATTTAAAAAACAGTTTTTTGCGTTTTATGGAAAAATTGTTTTTTTGAGTTGTGTCACTTTTGAAGCAAGTGTGCGATATATTAATATCGATGGTTTTCGAGAAAAGTGACACAATTCAAAATTCGACGTTTTTGAGTTAAAAGCGTGGACGAAAAAATAATTAGTTACAATATGGGTCAAAAATACTACCACATCTAAGAACTAACTCTGCTTTTGTCTAGTGTGTTCTCTGACAATTTTTTCTACTTCCAAATAATTCTGTTCATTTTGATTCCGCCCAAATTGTTTTGCATTTTTGACTGATGTTAAGCAACCAAAAATTATTCTGTATATTTTCTTCCAGGTAATTTCCCATCAACTTCTTCCGGATCGTCAAATTGTGAGATAATAGAGACAGAATCACATCTCAGATGCTCTTATCTGAAGATTAGAGTTTTTGTGACTGATCTACAATTTATTAGACTGCGTGCAGAAGTATTATAAATGATTAAAACTCTCTTTAACTCTTTAATAAGATCTTTCTCATTGTAAAGGCCATATTAAATCTTTGAGACAAATATTTTTCCCAGTTTCAGATGCACAAAAAGTAACGTCCGATTCCAATTTGACGACAACATTTCATCAATCGCCTTCAAGATCAGGTGCTGACTCGTCATCAGATTCAGACTCATCATCATAATCTGGCTCCGTCAGTTCAGCAAAGGACTTTTCCAGTGACGACAGCGTCAATGACCCAAATTATAATCAATCGGCTTCTTCTAGATTATCAGAACAACTTGATGAAGGTGAAACAAATAAAGTCGAAACAATAAGAAAAATAAAAAGAAAGGCTGACCCAGATACTTGGAGGAAAACATCAGCTAAGATCCGTCGAAACTCTGGGAAACAGTATGAACCTAGTTCCAAGAGCAAGAAGATTTTTGAAGCTAAGAAAATCGGAAATAATTGCGCTAAAAGTGCAAACTAATGTGCACTACTAAAATAAAAGAAGAAGAACGACAGAAAATTTTTGACGAATACTGGAAACTAGGAGATATCCAAAGACAATGTCAGTTTATATTGTTTAGTATGAAAAGTATTAAGCCAAATGTGTGCAAAACATATTTTAAAGGAACCTTGGCTATTAATGATCGTCCGATTCGAACTGTGTTGCATAAAAACAGCAATCAGTGAGTGGGATGATTAGTACTGACTTAAGAGGCAAACACGGCAAACATCCTAGAACTGACGATGCCACAAAGGAAGGAGTTCGAAGGCACATAGATTCTATCCCCAAAATTGAAAGCCACTATTGCAGGAAGGATACGACAAAACAATATATCGAGGAAGGAAAATCCGTAGCAGAGTTACATAGAGACTATGTTGATCAATGCAAAATAGATAATCTTCCGTATGCCAATTACTTAATGTATTTTAGAATCTTTAGTGACTTAAATATCTCATTTTTCAACCTAAAAAAGATATGTGCGAAGATTGTATTGCATGCACAAATGCATCTGAAGAAGAAAAGGAGAAATTAAAGGCCAAGTCTGAATACCATCTTTCAGAAAAATATTTGGCAAGAGTTGAAAAAAGCACAGACAAGGATAAAGTGAGTGACATTTTAATTGTGGCTATTTACGACTTGCAAGCGTTCGGGTAAGCAAAATATTATAACGAGTTTCAATTTTTTAGAGTCCAGTGATAAACAAAACTACTATTTGTGTGGCCTCAGGCCATATTAGTATTGTTCCTATCAAAAATAGACGACCTCGGCTGGATGAAGAAAATGCTCGTTTGAGAGATGTTGTAGCTCTTTATAAGATTAGATATTTACATAAAAATAAGCTTACTGAACTGGAGGTTTGTCGAGATGAATTTATAGCTTTACATGGCATCACAAAACGTAGAACTGAGTATTTACTCACATCTTTGAAACATACAGGCATGCCTCCAATCGATGAAAGAGGTAAACATTCTAAAAGACCATTAAAACTATCTGATGATACTCGTAATAAAATTAATGAGCATGACATTCTTCGGCAACACGGGCTGTATGACCTATAGTTTTGTTGTTGTCCAAAATCAAAGTTTTTACGGTTTAAAAAGTTAAAATAATTACAAGTTTGCAAATATAACCTACTTTCAATAACTCTGTGAACATTCGACATAAAAACACGTAAGTTTTTTTACGTCTTTATCAATAAAACAACAACTGAAGCCACGCTGTCTATCGCGAGATTGGACTTTGGACCCAGCAGTTCGCCTGTGTCCACCTATTGTTGTAAGTTGCACCGTTGCCACGTTCAGCAAAAAGTATAAGAATGGGTGGTGGAACTACTAAAAAATGCCATGTTTGTCAAAAAAATGTTAGCAAAGGAGTACTTAAGCTGCAGTGTGGAGTCTGCACACAACATTTTCATCTGGGGTGTCGAGATGTCAGTGAGGTTGATGCAAGATTAACTGAAAAACGACCATGGACTTGCGGTACTTGTAAGAAGCCTGTAGCCCCTCCAGTCTCACATTTTTCTGGTCGGCGATCTGCACTGTTTTCACAGCCCTCTCAAGATAGGTCAGACGTCATTGCGGAGCTGAAACTTCTCATTATAAACTTGCAAGATGAGAATAAAGAGATAATAAGGTCACTGGACTTTCTGAGTGAGCAGTTTGATGAGGAAAAGAAACGGTCAAAGGTGTTGGAAGATATAGTAGGCAAGATAACAAAGGAAAATCAAGTTCTGAAAGCTGAAGTTGACAAATTGAAATCAGTATCTAACACTGTCCAAATGAAAAAGATTGAAAACAACTTGTCAATTACGGACCTCACTGCTAAAGAAGAAACTCAGGAACAAGCACTTAAAAAAACCCTAACCCTATTTTCTTTCTTGGACACGCCCTTGACCTCAAACGATATATCCAACTTCAGACA